TGGTCGTTTCATGATGTTTTATAGCCTATAACACTCAGGAACATTGTAAATACATGTCAGTGAAATAATTTTAGCAATCCGACCAGGCAGCGGTCCCAAAGCACCTACATACAACTTATAATTAAATTTTATTTCTTTCTAATATCAAGTGTAGATAGAAACAAAAACGCAATCATATCATTAAGGCTGTAGAGTCTCCGATTACACGAAATTGTTAATCATCTATTTAGATAATTACTTAAAATATATTTGAAAAGTTGTAGGTAGGTACTTTCTCTAGGAAAAATAAGCAAAACTGTTTCAATATTTTTATAGTGAAGAATTACTATAATACATCAACAATTTGACATAGCGCAAATATGCAATTTCTAAACGTCATGAACATAAAATTCGTTCCTAATTATGATATTAGAGAGGGCGCAACTGTAGCGAATCACGTGCGCTCGTTCGGAACCAATCAGGTAATGGTCAAACGTTGCGCCGGCGCAGTGTCATTGTAACGCGAATATTTTTATTTTTTAGAGTAGGTACTTGGAATGAAATTATTAAATGCAGCAATTTAATTGAACTTTTGATTTTTGGTGTCTTAACATTTCAATGGTGGTAATTCAAGACACAATAGAACGAGAAAGAAATTAACTTGTCATGTGGGTTCGATTCCCGCACTAAACAACTCTTTTTGTGCATCCATTTGTTTTTTTCGGATCTGGGTGTGGCATGTATGTAAATTTGTAATGTATGTTTGTAAACGCATCCACGACACAGGAGAAAATATACGGGTGGGGCCACGTCCTTTTAAAAAAATAGGAGAACACCAGCGTTCGCTTGGGGTTTGAAGAATTAATAATAATAATAATATATCTGTAAATAATTACATTATTTTGAAAAACATACGAAACAACATTTGCAGCGTACCTACATTTTCAAGAAAATTCATAAGTCGATTTTAGTTGAGACACATCCGATAAAAAACATCTGCAACCTAAATTGCACTTATCGACTAATAAATATAGAATTCACTTTCCTATATCAGATAACGTTATCTATACAGTAATAAATATTTAATGTACCCACATTATCTCGTATCACATACTTTAGACCAGATTATGCGAACACTAAGTTAGTTCTCAAACTCTCTATCTTAACTGGCTTCCAGACTTCTTGGTGGAATTTAATTAATGAAAATATAAAAGGGAAGAAACTTCAGTGTGGAAATATTGTCTATAATATTTTAAATGGTGTTTAATAAACTATTCTAAATGTTGAGTATAAAATGAGAGTTGGCTTGACCGGAAGAATATTACGCTCCAACGAGAAACCACGTTCTTGGTGTAACACACCGTGTCCTCCTTCCGTGTAGTTCTTTATTCTTAAATCACTATTATACCCCTATACTTATTCCTAAATCTACAAATTCCCATTTTTCCCATCCCCAAAATACCAGTAACATATTTTTAACCCTTGTGTAGTGTCCTTGGCGGACGCTGATGGCTTACCATCAGGCGATCCGTATGATCGTCACCGCATAAAAACTTCTTTTAAAAAAAGTGTAAGGAACATGTTTGCAGTAAAACAAATTGTATTTGAACAATGAAATAATAAGTATTCACAACGAAGATTTTTTTATGTAATAGACCGGCAAACGAGCAGAATGATTATCTGATGGTAAGCAATCAGCGCCGCCCATGGACACCCGTAACAGAGGAGTTACGAGTGCGTTGCCGAACTTTTGGGGATTGGGGAATTTAGAGATTTAGGGAATGGGTAGAGACTGGGGGAGGGGAAGGATTGGGCATCCTCCTCATACACGGCGAAACACAACGCTGTGGTTGTTTCACGCCGGTTGTATGAGAGGCCGTGGTATCACTCCGGTCGAGCCGACCTATTCGTGCCGAAGCATGGCTCTCCCACACTTACATTACTCCACATCCATATTAGTGCTGCTATAGCCCTTTGATATCCACGTAAGTATACCTATTTAATAAATTAACAATATATTTTTATCATAAATGGTTTACCTACAATACAATATGTATAATAATTGAAGTTAAATTTTAAATTATTTAATTTAAATACACTACAAATTTTATGTCAAGACGCAATTTTTCAGTGAAACTGAACAAGAAGTAATCAAACTACGCTAACAAGAAAACAGTACACAGAAACCGAAAGTCAACCCAGATTATTTGATATATACGAATGTTCAAAAAAAAAATATCGAGATCGGAATCAGTCGTAGGTAGTTACAATATGTTCAATACGACTTGAAAATTGTACGCTTAGCTGCCTCGGTAGAGTGGTGTTTGTCATTTAAGGGGTATGTGGAGTGAAACATTATGTACCTATAGATAAGTATATGTATAAGCACGCTACACCAGCTTACCATACCAGTCATGCTCCCTCAATCGGTTTATAACTTTATCGCGAGAGGATATGGTTGAAATTTGTTATAAGTATTTGCTAGATTAGGATAGCTTTATGTGCTGGTCTCAGAGTACAGTGCGGTGAAAAGACAATTGGAAAGCATGACTGATAGATTGTTTAGTCATTAAGGTGCATGCTCCAAGGACAACCTCGATGTTTTTTTAAACTTTTCAGCGAATTTCAGCTTTTTGTATCTATAATAGATCGTTTGATAATAAATTATTTACTTTTTTGGTGGGGTACATTCATCCAACCTCTCGTTATACTCATACTTTTACTGACTAAAATCCACCCAGCAGTGTGATTCTGTAAGACTTCATTCTAAACTTCGAATCTGAATCCGCCGTGAGTAGTAGTACCTACACTAGCGCTACACTTGCGAGTTGAACTAAATTGACAGCAACATTTTGATAGATAAAGTATGAAATGACGTTAAAAGTGGCATTCAAAAATTTAATTTACCCGTCACTTCGACGCTCACTTCGCACTCGAACACGATTCAAAATCAAACAAATTTTATAGAATCGACGTGCTGTTCCTTCTCCTGCTCCAGGCCTATGCTGAGGTACGTCACTATGCTTTACTAAACAAACTAAACACTATACTAGTGGTAATGATATTATACATATATTATATGATATCACAATGATGCTTTTTAAAACAATCACACCAATCTCTATCTTATAAAACACATAAAGAAAAGATAAATGGAACAATAAATTTATTTTTGAAAAAAGGCCGGCCGGTAAGTATCATAAAGCACCACCGCCACCTTATTTAAAATATATAATTTTGGGAGATTAATAATTATTACGAAATTTAGCAAGCCTATAAAATTAATTTGTTACATCAAACGAAAGGGTCATCTATGTTTTACGTCAGCAAAAAAAGCAATCATAATTTTTTTCGCCCCCAGTGTTCAAAATCTTTAAGTGCCTACGAGTCATAGTTCGCAGAGAGCCCGCACAGTGGAACGACCTCATCGTCCTAAATGACCAAAGCCTAAACTAACTATCACTTTTTATTAGCGCTGGCAATTTGCCAAATAACACTTTTCGGGTAATAAAAAATATTTTGAACTTAAAAAATAATCTTAGTACGCAGGTAGGTACGGTAAGTAATTATTTAATGTTTTTCAACTAGAATACGGAGTGAGTGCAGTAGGACTGTTGTCCATTTTATAAAAAAAGATCAGTCAAACCTTGATAGAGATAAAAAAGAAAAATAATTAACATTTATGACAAGTTTTTATTGTATTGAAATATGAAGATAGTAAGAGCCAAATAAACACTTTTATTATTTTATCTTGCTGAAGTGACTTATTCAATAAGTATTCTTTAATAATCAGTGTTGACAGAATGCACATAGACGAATTTAATGCCTTGGGAATTCTCTACAACAAAATGCTATTTTATCACGTATTATTTACAAGTATTGAAGAATTTTAGAAACGATCTTCATTAAAATTATTAAAATTTACTTTAGTAAATAAATAAAATGAAGCTTATCAATTGCTATCTTTCGAAATGCAGTGTAGGTATATATGTATAAGTAAGAATAAAGATAAAATTGAAATCAGTAGACAGTCAATTTATAAAAATCTTGAAACTCAAACTCGACTTGACTAAGCCCAGCTGTCGATCCCTTTCATAAAAAAAGCTAAACGTATAACAAATATAAGTCCCACCCCAAAACAAAATATATCTTTTTATACCCTCATGATGCATGTATTTCAAATCACATTACTGCTACCACTTTTCAACCGCACAGCTTTCCGAGCAAAACCAGGGCCCTATATCTTTTTTACCGCTGACAGCTAATTTAACGTCAATATCGTGGTTTAAGGAAGCCAACGACGAGGCTTTTATCACCGGAGGAACATAAAACACGTGAGCGTAACGCAACTGAGCATGTGGGTCGACCGCAATCGATGCTATAACAACTTACATCCATTGATTTAATATTCCATCTTCGTAAGAATAACCAACCAACCACAAATATCCGGAGTTTCTATAATATTGCTGCTAAGTATCTAATAATTGTACTGTTATCAGATTATATTTTTAACTTAAACTACTTCTATTTGTTGTTTTAATCAATGTTATAAAAAAAACTACATTATAAATAAATCAATGTGAGACAGTCTTAAAGAGATGAAATAAATTCATAAAGAAATAATTTTATACACATAACCCCACTCAGATTACATAAAACCCTTCAAAACAACAAAGCGCGTGCCATAACGTTCCAACCTGATACATAAACATGAATATTGATATTAAAACATGATTGTATATTATTTTGACCTTGTCAGCGCTATCTAGCGGCTTAACGCGATACTATGAACAACTGATACGTATCCAATATGTACCGGTTACGCTGTAAACAGTTAATATTTCTGCATGTACTATAAAATAGTCCGTTTTATTTGATAAAACCATAACCAAACTAAATTATTTATCATTTTTATTTCTCCACAAACTCTGGTTTATTCTAGGACAATCAAAACATTCAATTTAGCACACTGTGTTGTACCGAAGTTCACCATTTTGTTCCAAAACTTGCCGCTAGATGCTCTACTGTGCGCTGATGTAGTGAGATTCAATATGGCGGCGCCATTCGCCTCTGGAACAGGGCGGGGAGAACAGTCGCCGAATCGACACTACAATATCTACGCGTATTTTTGTCGAAACCATCGGCTTCGTGACTCGAACGCGAGTGATATTGTAAAATAATCCTGTGTTTCTGTGTTCATTTATGCTGTTTGTGTTATTATAAGTGTATTATGGTGATTTTGTTGTGAAAAACGTGAAAGGACTTTAGGGTAACAATGTCTAGCAGTTGACATGTTTATCTGTGTCGTGTGTGAAGATTTTCCCTTCGCGTGAGGAGGTGCGGTGCGCGAGTGTGCGCGCTAGCGCTCCTGTGTGTGTGCTGTGATCGTGAATACACAAACCAATGATGGATTGCATTTCCATGGATGTTTAGGTAAAAATCACCCGCAAATTTTTGTGCATGTAACGTTATGTATTAATCCACTGTGGTACAATAAACCAATATATTTGTAGTGTGTGTTGCTTTGTTTGAAATCTTATTAAAATCTTAATTTTGAAGTTACTTGCAAGGTAATTTCTATATCCTTGAATCGATAATTCGATAAGGATAATACTGACTTGGAGAGCTACCACAACTATGAGCTTTCCGGTTTTGTTTTCCTTATTTCAATAATTGGTGTTGGTTGAACCTTGAGTGAACACTTGGTCTGACGAAATGTTTTCCTTCACGGTTCATTGTGTAACGTGCAGTTTAGATCTAAGACACTGATAGACTGATTATTACCAATGTACCTTAACTGATAACCAATCTAAAACATATCGTAACACAAATTCTAATTGGTTTCCAATTGCATTTGCCGAGAGCCCGCCATTTCTCGAAGAATATAAAATCACGCACTTATTACGAATACGTCGAGCTTTATGTTAAAAGCGATTCACACTCACGCACAAAGTCTTGCTTGTATACCATTGAATTTTAATTCATTACATTCATGCAGAGTCGCGCGAGAATATGGTTCCCCTCGCTCTGTTCGCTGCCTCTGGTTATCAGCTTACAAAATGTCTGATGCTGTCTTACTCTGACGAACAGCTAATACGTATAGTTCTATCTCTTTTCGGCGCATATTGCGCGTTTTTCTTCTTTTGCCGCGTCATATGCCAGTGTCGAAGCATAAGCGTAGTTTGGTTTGTTTCAAAAGTGTATTCGATGAACAAATGCATTTTGTTGGCGAACGGTTCGATTCGTTCCTAATTGTAAGGCTGCAGGGTTGACCCTAATTGATTTGAGTTCCTTTGTTTAGGAGGTCGGGTAGGTTATTAATAAGAGGGTACCTACATTAAGGGTAACCGCGCAGCCAGAGTGCGCAGTTAGACGTTGGGTACCCGGCCGCGCCGCACGTGGTTTCGTGTGGACAATTTGCCGCGAATCTTTTGTCCTGTTCAGTGCTTAATGCCGTGGAAAATGAGATTTTACCATTCACGGACCACCTGGTAATAACTTTCTTTGAACCCTATTTGAGTCAGATTGCCGAAAATTTGTTTGTAACGTATTTTTGCTTAAGTCCTTAAACCTCATTCCGATAAATGAGAAAATATAAATCTCAGCTTTTTCAGAGTTCGCAGAATAAAAAGTAAAATATTGCATAAATCTGTAAGTTATTTGGCTTAAATAAATAAATCCTGAGTCAGTTTAATATAATTGAGTATTATACTTTCTGTGGAGGTAGGGTGAGTGCGCCAGTGCGAATGTACAAGCAGACTACGTTATTCATGGGTCTGGACTCGTTATGCAAAGCGAAATGCCGAATTATGCAAATAATAACAATAATGCCCGCTTAAATTTTATTACGTCTTTAAGTAATGTCCCTTCTGTGTGTTATTACACGGTCTTCATGAATATGCTAGAAAAATAGAACACAAGAAACGCGAGGACAATGCACAGTGGGATAAATAAGCGCAAAACGTAGGAAACTGCTTCAAAATAAAAGGACGAAAGACGTGAAGATTGGAAAACTAAAATTTTACGACGAGGAAACACGTTAACGCGGAAAATAAAACGAATAAAATTCAGCCCGTGAACCAAAGTCGAAGTTAAGTGTTCTTAATTTTCATTGAGATCAACGTGTCTGACCTTTTGGAGAACGCTAAACAAACAACATTCCCTCGCAAATACTTCGGAAGGATAGGATTTATTTACTCTTGGATATTCGAACAAATACTGCTGTAATAAATCTCAAATATAAACACCTTTCCGTATCCTTTGGAGAAAGACAAAGGTTTTCATCAGGGTTCATCTTCTAGTCATATTACATTTAGTTCACTGTTTATACCTTACAAACATGTACCTAGTTCAGAATCTTTAAATCAATTCAACATACGTGAAATCAGATATCCAATTTATTTCCTCGCTGTAGTCGAGATACCTACTCCCGAACAAATCGTATGAATTTTCAATCTCTTACTATCATTGAAATATTTTCTTGTTGCCTTTCAAAGGGATGTATATTTCAAAATATTATTAACTACATGTATGGTAATGGAAGCTGTTTTGCTAGTAGTCACCTCAATCTGGTTTAAAATTACTATTTAGAATAAAATAAAGAAAAAATAAATTCTGTCCCTTCCATCCTCCTCCATCAATATGTAGGCTTAAATCTTTAATTCTACGCAACGGATTTTGATGCGGTTTTGTTTTAATAGATAAAATAATCGTAAGTTTACTTAAATGTGTGATTCGCGCGGTTTCACTCGCTGCTCGGCTCTTACAGATCTTTGCGTGATAATTTATAGCCTATAGCCTTCCTCAATAAGTAGACTAACGAACACAAAAAGAATTGTTAAATTCCAAACAGTAGTTCCGGAGATTAGCGCGCCTAAACAATCAAGCAAACTCTTCACCTTTATAATATTAAGTAAGTATAGATAGAATTTAGTATCAGAATTTAACCCGGGCGAAGCTGTGGCGGGTCGGCTAGTTTTATATAATTTAATGTTTCTTTTGTCTTCTTAAATTTGTCAACCTTCCGTAGTACTCATGGTAGGTACTATTTATATGCATTCTTAAGAAAACTGCTTCAATTTCGAAGAACTTATCAAAACAAATTTTCACGTCGAAACCAAATAGTATTATCACAAAAACATTTTGAATTCATACGAAAATCGGATTTTTATATCATATAATTTTAATTCGTTCTCGAAAATTTTAGTTAACAAATAAAGCGATTTGCGTTTCATAGAATTTCACTTACAATCCGATCTTTTTACCTGTGAGTGAGGTTTCACTTAATTTTCTCCGTAATTTTAATCGACACTGAATTAGAATCGAATGATTCTGTAACAGAAGCGCATTTTTACATTAAACTTTTTTTGTTTTTTAATAGAAAATTATGGATATAAGATACATAATTCGACCAAAATCGAATTCAAAATATAACTTTATCGCAAAATAACTTTATCGCAAGTGTCGGTAAAGTATAATAGTATGAAATAATTATCTAATTGATTCGATTTTGACGAGATAAAGACAGACAGACACGATTAGATACATATTATAGACTAACTACTCTCGCGCCGTTTCATTCACTGCTCCGCCTCCTATCGATCGTAGCGTGATGTTTATATAGCCTATTATATTATCTTTATTATTTATAACCTATCACGATAAATGGGCTAAGAAACACAAAAGGAATTGTTCCATTCAAACCAGGAGTTACGGAGATAAACGCGTTAAAACAAACTCTAGAGCTTTATAATATAAAAAGTATATATAGAATTATTATTTAAAAGCTTATACCGTCAACTTCTTTCGGGCTATCCAGATGAAAAATAACCTATGGTTTACCAGACTATAGAGCTATATTCTATATCAAATTTCATTCAGATCAAGTCAGTAGTTGTATAGTTAACAAACATTCATCCATACTTACAAACCTTCGCGTTTATAATATGTATTAGTAGGGCTAGCAACTCGCCCGTGGCTTCGCACGATTGTAATGCTGGTACTTAATTTCTCAACTATTTAATTTTTATGGATATTATTATACATATAAACCTTCCCTTACAATCCCTCTATCTATTAAAATAGACTGCATCAAAATCCCTTCCGTAGATTTAAAGATGTCAGCATAAAAGGTATAGGAACAGAAAAAGCGACTTTCTTTTATACCATGTAGTGATAACGACGTATGTATTATATAAATGATTTACATAGCTAAATAATCCATTGCAAATTGAAGTCACGTCTCTATAACGATGTCGATAACTGAAGAAAGTGCGCTTCCCCCTGCCTTCAACTTGTTTCAAAGTAACGATGTTTAAAGTACTCACAGCCTATTAAGTTAATCTTCAATACAGACGTGTTTTGTTTTGTTTCCTTTTTCTTATTGTTTTGCAAAAATATTGGGTAAATATATAACTTGCCTACCAGTACTTTATTTAATATATTTAAGTAGTTTTTACGTGAATGTGTTTCGAATTTTGCATCCATCTTTCCATCCATCCATACTTATAAACTTTCGCGTTTATTATATTACTTACTAAGACATAAATAAATTTTATGTGATATTATTGTGTTATTGATCTCTTTCCTGAGAAATAAATCTTATCCGCGAAAAGACTTAAAATTAAATTTGTATTTTTTTATTTATTATTTTTAAGGCCCATTAGCTTGTTCAATCATAATACATATTACACAAAAAATCTCATCAACTAGGAAAAAGAAAGAATCTGACACTATTTCTTTAATTAAATTCCGTTCAAACAAAATAAACATTCATTCAATATTATACAATAAAATATGTTCACCTGTCACGATGTTAAATCCCTCCAATTAAATACTTAATTACCCAGACATCCCTTCCTCATTAGTTCCGTATATCAAAGCTATTCGGAAATTGATATTGTACCCGTAATAATACGAAAGCAAATTGTTGGCGTATTTATGTTGAAAATGTTCGCTCGCAAATAACATAATGTACAAATTATAAATTTATTCAAACATGATATGGGAATCAGACAACTGATTCGTAACAATCCTCTTTTACATTTCGATCGAAATCAATTTTATTTTTTTATATTAAGAGGCAATTTTTTCTGAGATAAAATCGGTACGATAAGACTCTTCCAGGTATTTTTTTCATTGCACAAATGTATACTTAGTCGGGTCATAAGTTCTGTCAAAACCTTATATTTTTAATTTTCGATTACTGGCCAGAAATTCTTCGACTTATTTTAAAAATAGAACTTTCGCGCTTGTAGAAAATAAAAAAGAAATTATTTTTTATTCATTTTTAAATATGGAGTGGTCGAATAAAGAAGACAGAATCGCGGTTATCGCGTTGCACCGCTGTGGTTACGCGCCAAAAGACATTTTCAATATTCTTCAAAATTTGAAAATAACGTTACGGTTTGTTTATCGTACTATCAAACGATACA